GCGATATAAAACAGACTTTAACGCGAATTGTGCAATTATTGCTCCAATAACTTTCTCATATTGTTGTAAACAAACAAAATTTTGTATCGATCGTTATGTGAACGAATAAATGAAAATCAAAGCGTTTTGAAAGGGGGGAAAAAATAATAATAATAATAATAATAATAATAATAATTTTGTATCTATTACGGAAAATCTGGCATCAAATCAATAACCGAAACTTTATATTGCATTTTCATCTACAAACTCCCACACACACTCACATCGTTTCTGACCTTTTCATTATATTACCATCATTATTATTATTATTATTAACAACATAAATAATATAATTATTGTAATTAATTCATAAAAATATAAATATCAGTATTATTTAATCACGATTGAAATGTTTTTTTTTTTTTTCTATTGCAAAACAAATCAACGCTTTTCCCTTACGTTTATTGCAATGTGATGTAAACCCTCCCTCCCCCCCCGAAAATCGAATATTGGTCCAGATGAATACAGAATCCTTAGACGAATACAACAAAAAAAAACCGAAAAAAATCTACCAAGTATTTCTCAACGAATGAATAATTCATAAATACGAATACCAATAATAATAATAATAATAATAATAATAATGTCAACATTATTAATTGCACGATCGTTTTCATATCATCATCATCATCATCATCATTAAAATAAAAGTGTGAACCTTTTTTGTATTTCGTAATGGATTTGCAACATTTTTTTTTTTTGTTTTTGTTTTAAATATGAAAAATAACGAAAAACGGTTAATACCGACCGGAAAATTTCCGTTAAATTTTAATTTATGCCGCAAACGACCGTTTTTTCGTCATCACTTTCATTCTTTCAACGAATAAAACAAGTTCAAGTCAACAAAAAAAAAAAAAAGGGGGTATTATTAATAATAATAATAATAACGTAATATTAGGGGTTGAGAGCTCGAAATAGTTCGTTATTACTTTTGTGTGTGTGCATAAACGTTTCTAACGGTTTATTATATAAAATAATAAGGTAATATTTAAAAAGGAGGGGGAGGGGGAAAAGAGTGTGCGAGTGCGTGTGTTGAAATTATTAAGTAAATATTTTTTTTAATGTAATATTTACAACATTTATATATATATATACATATTATATTCCTTAACCTTAATTTAATGGAAGAACTTAATCGAAGGAATTAATCGCTTAAAATCTTATATCGATGGCCAAAGTAAGAGTGATTTTCGTCAAATATCATTATTATTTTCATGCAATAATGGAATTTAAACGAAATCCAATTTAAACAATTAAATTTAAATTTTTTTTTTTAAATCGAAAGATAAATAAATTTTGACCTTATCATTTATCATTCATTTCACATTTAAAATTCACATTAACATATATAAAAAAAAGGGTGTTTAATTGCGAAAATTGTACCTGTCAAAAGAAAGAATCTTTTTCTATCTATCTATCTCTCTTTTTCTCTCTCTCCTCTCCTCTTCTCTTCTTTTCTATTCTTTTACAATTTTTAGTTGGGGTTTTGGGAAAATTGCGAAATTTTTTTCTTTCATTTTTTTTTTCTTTTTACTTTAATATTTTTCGGTAACAGTCAAGGTAATTTTACTATTTCAATTTTGGCCTTTAAAGTAAAAACCTAGGTTAGGACATTAATTATTTAAAAAAAAAAAAAAAAAAAAAAAAAAGAAGGAAAGAGAGAGAGAAAGAGAGAGAGAGAAAGAGAGAAAGAAAAAAAAAGAAAAAGGAAATTTAATATTTTTTCAAATGATACGGACGTGAATCGTAATCTTGTTTTTTTTTTTTTTTTTTTCAAGGTTTTCTCCGCACCTGAAACCTTTTCCTCAAGATGAGACTCTAGGGCGTGTCCCTAGAGTTCACATACTTGAACTTAAAGAGAGAGAGAGAGAGAGAGAGAAAGTGAGGGGGGAGAAGACGTTTTTTCAAATGAGAAAAATCCCGTGAAAATTTTTTTTGTTTTTTTATTCCTGCCGTGGCAACCGATAAATATCGAATCATTTCTAAATAATTTTCTTTTCTTATTTTTTCCTTCTTAAGCCTAAAACGTGAGCATCTTTTCATTTAAAAAATTATTCGCCTTGCGTAAAAAACAAAAAAAAAAAAAAGAATACGTTGCCGCAACGTCTTTTAAATGGGTGTTACTAAAAAGTAATAAATTTTAAAATATTGTGTTTGAATCATGAATAATGATGTTTGTATATTAATCGTTTTTATCACGTTTTTAAAAGCGCAAAATCAAATTTCAAAAATTTCACCACCCCAAAAATTGTTTTGACAATAAAAAAAATACTTTTTAAACATCTATAAAAAAATACCATTTTCTTTTTATCGTTATATTATTATTATTATATTAAAAATCAAGGTTTACCAGAAGCCAAGTGATATTTGGTAAACGCAAGTAAAAATAACGAAAAAAAATTTTCTTTTTTTAAGATTAGAACCCATCATTAGTAGGAAAACTGCTGATAGGGCAAGGTTGTCGTTGTGTTTGTAAGGCTTCAATATTTTTTTTTTTTTTTTTTTCACAAAAAAAAGATAAATCAACACATTAAACAACGAACAATTGAGTAACAATCAAGAAAGCCTTGTCTTATTATTCCATTCACATCTCTCTCTCTCTCTCAATATCACCACTCTTCCTTTTTTTCACTCTATCTTTATAAAATCTTAACGACTTACATTATTATTATTATTATTTATTAATCATCATTCAAAAAAAATATTCTTCAATAAGGAAACAAACGAAGAAAAAAATCATTAACGAGGAAAATTGTAACGCGAAAATAAAAACTCGGAAATGACGAAGTGTTTAAAAAAAACGAGGAAATTTTAAAAATAGCTAAATAATAATAATAATAATAATATTTAAAAATTTGAAACGATATTTTGAAGGAAAAAACATTATGGAAAACGAAAAATGCAAAATTTTCCGGCGGCACGTGATAACAAAGCTTCAAAGTTCCCTCGAAATAAGGCAAAAAGATAAAAATAAAAATAAGAGTACTGACCTAAAATTAAGTTTTAATTTTTTTTTTCAAACTGACAAACAAATCCTAACAAAAACTACATGATATTGCAATCGTACCGAGAATAGAAGAACACAAACATAACATAACAAACGTTAAATAATTCATTTCATTTATTCATATTTACACAGCATCCATGAAAATCGAGAGAAAAAAATGCCACAACCGAATAAAAAATTTATTTATTAAAAAAAATGTATTAAAGAAGCCAGTTTTTGACACGTGCCTTCAAATCCGCTGTGTTGCAACTAAACCACACACACACACACACACGTACGCACACGCACACGCACACACGCACACACACACACTGCAAAGGCAAAAGCTTGAGAGTTCACATGGCGGGAGTGTCGAAACATTTCCCCGCCATCTTCACTCATATCTCCTCTTATAAACTTTAAACTATTTTTATATCAATTACATTGTTATTCTATTGCATCACTAGGTTGTCTTTTTTCACTTTTTTTCACTTTTTATTATTATTATTTTTCATTTCAAATAAAAAATTTAAATAATTTTTTTTAAAACAAAAAAAAAAAAAAAAAAAAAAAAAATGCAATAAATTAATCGAAATAAAAAAAAAAAAAAAATTATGCGAATAACCTTGCACGCAGTTACTAACGGGTTTGTTTTTGCCAAAATTTCAAATTGTGCACCACCGTTTTAAAATCCACTTTAACCTTGGCAAATTATACAAAACAAAAATTAATTTGTCAACTTTTGATATTTGTTTATAAAAAAAAAAAAAAAAAAAAAAAAAAAACGTTACATCCGTAGAATCCGTTAAACCCCCGTACCACACATTAAAATCTCACCCTCATCATCTCACCCCTTTATAAAAACAAACAACGAGCAAGAAAAAAATAAACAAAACGTTGACACATAAAAACATAAGAATATTATTACGAACCTTAAAAATTAATAATGACCGTTTAAATTTTAAAGAAAACCAAATGCTATTTTTCCTTACTCCTCCTCTTTCTCCCTCCTATCCTTACCACCCCCTCCCCTAACCAAATTTTTTTTTTATTTAAAAGTAATTAAAATGTAATTATCGACAAATTGTTTTTTGTAAAAGTATTATATACGCATTAACAAAAGGAAGTCCTGGTTTTTATTCTCCAAGGGATAAAAACCGGTTTTTAATTTTTTTTTTTTTTTCCTTATGTTTTTCTTTTTTGGGTATATGTCTTATCTCAACGCATTTATTATTATTATTATTATTGGGCCGTGTTTAATATTGTTAAACAATGATATTGAAAATGTTACAATGAAATTAAAAAAAAAAAAAACAAAATATTTACATTTTAAAATGATTGCATCGCATGCATCGAATGGAAAATGATAAATGAATAAAGTTAATACGACTGCGGTTCGATTATTATTATTAGTTTTGTTTGCCCCCCCCCCCCCGTAATAATTCAAACGAAATATATATGGAAAAAATATTCGAAACGGAAGCGAGAACAAAAGTCAAAAAATTTTTTTAACCGAGCGAAATGAGTTTTTTTGGCATTTTTTTTTCTTTCCATGGCTCTTTAATATTACCGTTTAGTAGGTAGTTTTACACCGTTATTCGCCATTAATCAAACGGATTAGCACCTTTGGGAAAATAAGGCACATAAGTCATGAGGAGCCCGGTGGCCCCCTTAGCGCTCGCGTATATAAATTCGTGTGTGTGTGTGTTCTTTAATTGATATTCTTTCCTTTCATAAAAAAAAAAAAAGATTACTATTTCTAAACTGTACAATTTTCTCTCCGGGTCAAAACACTTAAAACATTCGTGACATTCTTTAATATAATTTGACCACCAAACGTTAGTTTCATTCATTCATTCATTCAAAAAACAAACTTAATAATTATCTTTCACGGAGAAATTTCCAGTGTAAAAACTAAAAAAAAACCGAGTCAAACCCATTTTCATATAAAAAATGAAAAATGAAAAAAAAAAACTTACTTTTGTGTATCACTAAAAACAAATTTTCTAAGTTTGAGATCCCTAAGAACAATTCCTTTATCATGGCAAGCTTTAACGGTGTTCACCATTTGTCGAAAAAGTTTTCGCGCAACAGGTTCCCGAAGCCTTTTCCTAAGCCTGACATGAGAATGGAGATCGCCACCTTTCGACGGCGGAAATACTAAATACAATAGTTTATCGCCGAGTAAAACTTCCCGAAGGGAATTCACGTGAGGGTGACCGTCCATACGATAATGTGCGGACAATAAACCTCCGGCTTCCCGTCCGATAACCTGTAAAATAAAAATCATACACATAAATATTTAACTCAAAAGCGGAAAACCATTTTCTTTTTTTTTTTTTTTCTAAATAAAAATAAAACGTAGTTTAGTCAGTTAGTTTTATGCAATAATAATATTTTTTATACAATTGCGTCCAAAGTATTTTTAAACGCCATTTTTACGACCGAAAAATATTTTTTTTTTTTTTTTAAACTTGAATGAAATACAATAATAACCGAGGCAACTACCGAAGAGAAGTTTACATAATGTAATTTCTAATATGAATAAATATTAATAAAAATTTCAAATCTCGCTTTTCTTTCGTTATTCAAGAAAGAGAGAGAGAGAGAGAGAAAAGGGAGATATTAAGGCCAAGCACAAGAAAAAAAAATTGGATTAATTGCGATTCCTTCATAATAAATGACAATTATTGTGTCGCCTTTCGTCATTTATTTTGCGTTGTTACAAAATTCTGTTGGGACTCGAAAAAAAATGCCAAGAAATTTCATCCAACAACATTTTGAAATAAAAAAACTAAAAGTTGTTTGGCGACATCCCTAAAGTAAAACCAATCTGTGGGTGTTGAGCAGTGAAAAGTTTCGCAAAAAAAAAAAAAAAAACAATATATCACCTTTACAAAAAAAATTATAAATAAATATTTTAACGCGCGGGCATTTAACAAACAAACAAACAAACAAAAACTTTTTACCAAATCTGTAAAAACTTTATTGACGACGACAAAAACAAAAACAAACATAATTCTTTTGTAAAGAATTAATTTTCATCATATTTCTTTCACTATAAAAAAAAAAAAAAAAAAAAATAAAAAACTATTTGCGAATGATCATTATTACAAGGTCAACACAGCCCTTTGTGCAACTAAACTATTGCATACACACACACGCACACACACACACTTGTTTTTCGTAAATTACAAATTAAGCAAATGGTAGTAGTAATAGATTACTTAAAAAAAAAAAAAATTTTTTTTTTTTTTTTTTTTAAATAACTGCCACTAGCATTTATTTATTTCATTTATATAAAATAAAATTTATGCTTCGAGAAATTTATTTAATAAGTTAAATGTATGAGTAAATAAATAAATAAATAAATAAATAATAAAATATTTTTTAAAAAAAAGATTTTCACAAGAATATTTTCGATTTGGTCACAATACGAATTACACCATCACATTTTTAAATTGCATTTATTTATTTTTAAATCAAACAAAAAAAAAAATATTACATTAATTAATTAGACGAAAATACCTTTTTTTCTATTTCTATTTTTGACTTTAACAAAAGATTAATAATATATAATAGTAACCTTGAATTCGTTTTACATAAGGCTTACGCATAAGATGAAAATGAAATATGGTGGTTTCTATATTTATATATATATATATATTCTAAACAAATTATTTTTGGGCGGCAGTCCACACCCAGAGCAACGTACTCTATCGAAATTTTTCTTTTCTTTTCTTTTATTTTCCTTTTTAAATTATATTTAAACGATTCTTATTATCTAACGTATATTTGCCATGTGAAATTTTCAAATTTATCCCCTCCATAATAATAAGTAAATCAGTTACTTTTCACAAATTTTTGGAGAAAAAAAGTCTCGTGATAATAACAACACACACACAAAGAACTTGGATTCGTTATTATTATTATTATTTAAATCAAATTTTGTATAATCTGTAATTACATTTAAAGGGAGATTAAAAATTTTTGGCAAGATCATTTGATGACCATTTACTTACTACTGACCCCTCACATTCATTTTTTTTTTTTTTTTCTGAACTTCGCAATCGAGCTTAAGTTGCCCAATTCACACATATATTCGAAAGCCAAAAAAAAAAAAAAATAAATTTTTCCGGTTTCTTTTTCATTCTTAAAAAAAAAAAAAAAAAAATTTTACAAAAAACAAAATTATTAACTTTTGAAATTAATTTCACTTGAATTTGGTTTATATTTATTTTTTATTGCAAAAACTTTTCTTTCGTTTGACTTTATGTGAAAAATTATGTACGTAGCAGCACAATAAAAAAAAATATTAAAAAATAAATAAATTCAAATCTTTTAAATTCGAAAATTTTATAATAATAATAATAATAATAATACTAATGCGTGCAATCGTTGTGTAAAACTCACGTTTAATTACAACCGTATATAATTTTTTCATCGATTGCGCATGGTACAAATCAAATACATATTAATACGAATAATGAAAAGAAAATTTTTTTCTCCCCAATTAATTACGGGTTTGAATGAGAAACTCTTTATAGCAAGTCACAATTGTGAAATTGGGTCTAATTTTTTTTTTTTTTTTTTTTTTTTAGGGAGTTGCGATTATTCTGACAATATTTTCACGATGATAACGTGAAAGTATAAATAAAAAAGAGTAAATTTAAAGAGAAAAAAAAAATAAAATAAAATAAAATAAATGCCTAGAAATAATGGCCTAGAAAACGCATAAAATGCATAGTTGCAACCGGACGCCGAAATTGAGATTAGGGTTAACGTAAGCGGATTTGCTCTTTCAATTGTTTCTCTTTATTTTTATTTTTTTTTTTAAATAAGAAATACTAAATAGTATTTTACTATTGACTTTTTTTTTTTTTTTGGACATTATTTATTAACTGAGAATAATAATAATAATAACAAACTAAATAAACGAACAACAAATAAACTCTCCTTAAATAATAATAAATAAATAAATAAAACCTATAAAAATTT